AGACCGGGACCTTTTTCTGGTTCGGGAGTCAGTTTAGATTGGGACCCTTTATGTTTTACTTTGTTAATATGTTATTTTGCAGCCCCAACCCCCTCCCGTGGCGGGAGTCAAAAGATTACAAGGTGAATAAGGGTCCGGGCTGGACACAAAATTTTTATAGCTGAACAGTTACAAAAGGGGAAACGTCACAATCATACAAGGTCAAAGTAAGAACTATCTCATTTTTTCAGGGACAACATGAAAAAATTATAAATGATGACCATTCCCCCGTCCACAGCTTTCCACAAATGTAATAGTTATTATGCAAAATTTTTGGGTCACACAACACACACACCACACACACACACACACACACACCACACACACCCACACACACACACACAACACCCACACACACCAACCACACCCCGCCCCACACACACAGAGATTATCAGGGGGAGGTGGGGAGCACCTGGAAAGGAAAAAAAATAAACCCAAACCCAGGATTATGGAAAAAAATCCTGGTCACAAACCTTTGGGGTTTTATATAAAGTAAAAGAAGTAAACACAAGAGAGGGGGGGGTTGATTCATCTTTTTGCTGCAAAAAAGGCCTTTTACAATTCCTCCCAAAAATTTTGGCAGAAGCCAGAGGGTCAGGTCATAAACGGGGGGCAACAATGATCAAGAAACCTACGGGAGGGAAAAACGAGTATGGTACTAATGAGTATCACAATGGGGACCCGTGACGAGCGGGTCCCACGGGGGCGGTCCTGGGCAGGCTATTTTTTTGGGTTAAAGTGACGAATGATGGAAGGGTTTGATCGAAATGTCCCTGTTCGCAACATGTGAAATTAATGAGGAGAATTTTAAAAGTGAGGGCCGGCGATTCAAAGAGACCCGGACAGCTGGACATGTCCCAAAATGGGTTCTGAATTTTTCCCCCCCAAAAGCAAAATCCCTGAAATAGGGGAAGGGGAAAGAAGCCGCAGACGGGTATAGGCTAGGTGGGCCCAAAAACGCAAACCTCCTCAAAGGGGGAAAAAAATTGGTTTGGGAAAAACCGGCATGCTCCGGGAAACACTTTAACCAGCGCGCACATATGGGGCCTGGGAAACCTGGAGCACGTTCCGTACCTCTTAAAGGGAAACGTTCAAAAACACGCCACCGTGTACTTCAGGGCCCCTACTGGAGTTGGCCCTGTTTTGGGAACCCCACTTGATAAAGCAAGATTTCACATTCTTTGTACAGCGCTGTATAGTCCGTGGCTTTGCGCTTTTTTTGATTATAATAATAAAATAATATTGCTTTGTTTAAACTTAATTAATTTTAAGCCACCCGTAAACATGCATGTATAAGTGGCTTTTGGAACTGCTCTTAAAACTGTATTTTTTTTTACCTCTTTTGTGGCACAAATTTAAAAATAAATAAAAAAAAAAAAAAAGTGCAAAGGTTTGCGACGGGTTTGTTCAGAGCTAAGGGAATGTCTTATGAAGAAAAGGGTTAAGGAAATCGCCGACACACTGAGGACAGGGAAGGGCAGAGAAACATGATAAAGAAAAAAATAGCGCGGAATAGACAAGGTGGACCAAGGGAGGATGTTCCAGGGAGGGGACACAGAAAAAAAAGATACAATTGGGAATTGAAACAGATGAGTCGAGAGATATTAAAAATTTCTTTTAGTATAGAGTTTTTTCGGGGAAAATAGAAAGGGAGGGAGGCAGGAACCATACATTTTTTAAGATAGGGATGATAAAGCCCTAGCGGGGGGAGAGAGGCCCATACACCGGTGAAAGCGGGGCCAGGGCTATGACCGCCCCTCAACCCCAAATAGGTGATACAAATGGTATACCACTTTGGGTTTATTCATTTTCATATTTCGCGACCCCTTCTTTTTCGTGCATATTCGTTTCGGGCCCTTTGGTAATCTCTTTATTTTCCCGATTTTTTGTCTTCACCTTTTCCATTTTCTAGTACACCTAGTTTTTTTTCCTCCCCACACCCTTTGGGGGAACCAAGGGCTCGTTCTGTTTTCCCATTATTTCGTTTCCCATGGGAAAAACCCCCTTTCCCCGCCTCCTTGCATTTTGTTCCACAAGTCCATCATTTCTTTTACTGGTTTTTTCCCGTCAGTGGTGTGTGTGGCGTGTTGTGTGTGTGTGTGTGTGTGTGTGTGGTGGTGTGTGTGTTTTGTGTGGGTGTGTGTGTTGTGTGTGTGTACTCACCAATTGTGGTTGCGGGCGAGTCTCAGCTCCTGGCCCCGCCTCTTCACTGATCGCATAGTCCCCCCCTCTCGTTCCCACTTTGTATCCTTTCTTTTAAAAATTTATGGGTTCTGCCTCCCCCACCTCACTTGCTAGCATTCACTTCCTGAGACTCTATGACTGAAGAAAACTTCCTAACGTCCCTTGCCGTCTGAGTCTTCCTTCCCTTGTGACCCCCTTTTTTCTGGTTTCCCCCCCGGAACACCTTTTCCTGTCACCTTTCTATTTCCCCCCAGATCTTTTAGTCGTTTTTTCATGTCTCCCCCGACCCTCTGTCCTCCATGTCGTCATCCCATTTCCCCCAACCTTTTTCCCCGTACATTCCCCGACTGTGTACTCACCTATTTGTACTCACCTATTTGTGGTTTTCAGGGGTCGAGTCCTAGCCCTGGCCCCGCCTCTTCACCCGGTTTCTACTGGGGCCCCCTCTCTCCCCCTCCATGACTTTATCAAACCCCGTCTTAAAAAGTTATGGTTTCCTGCCCCACTACTCCCCTTTTCTAGGGTATTTCCCCTGCCTTTCAACTCTATGGACTGAAAAAAATACTTCCCACTATCTCTCTGACCATTTTTGTCTTCAACTTCCAATTGTGGCCTCTTGTTTCGTGTCCCCTCCCGGAACACCTGTCTTTGTCCACCGTGGGTGTGTTTGTGACCCAATAATTAAAATTTGCACCATAATCATTATAGTTATGACCGGGGGGGGGACATTAATTGCTCATACTCTTTAAATTTTTTCATGATTGTACTAGTATTAACTAAATAATAAATTACTTTTCCGTTCCCCTTCGTTTTAAACTTGTATTTATTTTCCTTTGAATATTCAGCTATCATAACTTTTTAGGCCAGTCCCTGGACCCATTATGTACCCTGTAATATTTTTACTACCGCCCAAGGGTTATGGGGGCATAATAAACATATTAAAAAAAAAAAAAAAAAGCTGTTTCTTCTTTTGACACAAGCAGCCACAATTTTTTTAAATTTAAAGAGTGGGGGAGCTTTTTGGATGACAGAACAGTTTCAATTAAAGTGTCAACATTAAAACCTGGAGCACGGGAGCAAGTTGTAACAAACATTTGTTTAAGGGTAGAGGCCCATCAAGCTCAGTACAGATCCAACATTTTTATACACCCCTTTATTTGTTTTTTTTTTTTTTTCGGCCCAAACAAACTCAGAGGTAATATGGTTTTTTTTTAGAAGAAATTTTTTATGGGAAGAGCAAATTTGATTAGGCCCCCATGTTATTCACTTTTTTGGATGCCTCTTTTTAGGGCGGGGGTAACCCCTTTCATCTTTTGGAAAGTTGAATTCCGCTGATTTGTTAAAAGTTGTAATAATGGACACAAGCACTGTCTACTTTTTTGTATATGAGTAGGGGAAATTTTTTCGGTTCCGTCTTGTTTTTTAAATGACTTTAATAGTGAGACTTCGGTAGGATTAGTAGGAGCTAATAAGAGATTTTGGGGAAAATTTCCCCCGTGAGGTAGTCTTTTGCCTGTTTTTGAGGGTGGGATTTTTCTTGTAGTTTTGATCCTTTTAGTAGAAGACATTGAGTTTGTTGACAATATCGCAGGGGAATCGGGGCTCATCTGGTTTTGTTTAAATCTCTGTTTCTGGACAGTTTCTATAGCCCCGGGTTTAAAGAGGGGTTTCCAGGGGATTTTTCACATACCCTTTTATTTCGCCAAGTTTGCTTTCCCTAATACGTTTTTTTAGCTTCCGTTTAGTTAAGTGGTACTGATGTTATCGTTTTGTCTGTTTTTTTTGTAGTTTCTTAATAGTTTTTATAATAATAATAATAATTTATTTATTTTTTATTTATTTATTTATTTATTTATTTATTACAATTTGAGCACACATACAGAGGTACAAACAAAAATACAGATAAGAGCAGCATGCCAAAGCCACTTATACTATGCATAGCATTACGGGCTGGCTTAAAATTAACTTAAGATTAACTAATAATAATAATAATAATAATGATAATGATAATGATAATAATAATAATGATAATGATAATGATAATAATAATAATAATAATGTTTTTTTTCCTACAAGTACATGTACATGGTATACAGTCGACTAATACCCAGGTACTCATTTTACTGATGGATGAAGAGGGACAACCGGTGTAAGGAAACATGCCCAATGTTTCTACCCTCGCCGGGAATCGAACCCGGATCTTACTCAGCGTGAGATAAGATAAGATAAGATTTCGTTCGGATTTTTAACCCCGGAGGGTTAGCCACCCAGGATAACCCAAGAAAGTCAGGGCGTCATCGAGGACTGTCTAACTTATTTCTATTGGGGTCCTTAATCTTGTCCCCCAGGATGCGACCCACACCAGTCGACTAACACCCAGGTACCTATTTGCTGCTAGGTGAACAGGACAACAGGTGTAAGGAAACGTGTCGAAATGTTTCCACCCGCCGGGAATCGAACCCGGGCCCTCCGTGTGTGAAAAGAGAGCTTTAGCCACCAGGCCACCGGGTCACCGTATTAGGATTATTTTCCGGAAATGTATTACAGTGACAACATGCAAACGGCTTTCTTTTGTGCCTGACAATATTTTATTACATGTAAACTACGATATCTGTGTACTAAATAAAGTAAATAAACAATCTGAATTTAGAATTGCCACTTCCCTGGCAGGTTTGGGCACTATTTGTTGGGCAGACACTGGATCCATTATGTGCCTTTGTAATCTTTTGACTACCGCCCATAGGATAGGTATAGGCTGCATAATAAAGATATTAAACTAACCTAACAGTGAGAAGCAGCAAGCTGAGTACAATATACCACGAGCAGTGTTGGCCCTCAAAACCTACACCAACAACAACAAGAGCAACAAGAAGAGGAATGAGAGTGCGTCATCTGACCAGCAGGTCGTCTGGTTCACTTGTCACCTCCATATTGTGATGAAGGAGGCCGTGTTGGAGGTCGCTGCCGGGGTCAACTCTACACTGGCACAGGTGACCACACTGCTGCGTCTGCTGGTGTCTGCTGCAGTAGACATTGTCCACGACGCCCAAGTTTATTTTTCACTGCCCTCTCTTCACCAACTTAAAGGTATGTAACAGCAGCCTCATGTTTCTGTACTTGATTATAGAAATGACACAATGTCAGATGATACAAAGTATATAGTAAACAGTTAACTGTGAAGCTCTTTAATATATTTTATTGTAATTTTCATTATCGGGAGGGATCATTTATATTATTTATGATATACATTTTCTTGGTCACAACATGGATTAAGTAAGTAAGTAAGTAAGTAAGTTTATTAGGTATACACAAATACAGTTACAGAGAATTATCATACATAGCAGCATATGTGTAGAGAACCTAGGATAACCCAAAAAAGTCAGACACAGTGACTTATTTCCATTGGGGTCCTTTTACCTTATTATTATAATATAAAGGTTATAATATTTTCTTATTATTCTACAATGAAGATAACATCTTATTATCATACTAAAAAGACTATCTACTACACCCAGGTCATTAAGACTATCTACAATACGAGGGTCATTACTAGGAATACGGTAAAATACGGTAAAATACGGTAAAATAAGGATATGTATTTTAACTTTTGATTTTTTTTAGACATTTAATGTTAGGTGATTCTTAACAAATTAATGAATAAACAATTTTTTTTATTTAGATAATGACCTGTAGATATTACAATTATTGGTTACCTGAGCAATTTGTAGTAAAATTAGAATATGGAACTTTATACATTTTGGACTACTTGGAATAAGTACCTCTTCAAGGGGGGCTCCGTGACGTGGTGAAGAGGCTCTTGATCTGAGGAATTAGACCTGTTCCACGGTCAGCCCTCCTGGCCCTATATCACTTACTTATTTACCCCTATCTCACCTATGGAATTTGTGCATGAGGCTCAACAACAATAAATCATCTCAGACTATTAATTACCCAACAAAAGGCTGCAGTCAAAATGATAACAAATTCCCACTCCAGGCAGCATACTCCACCAATATTCAAAACTCTAAACCTACTCACCATACAAAATATCCATACTTATTATTGTGCCTACTACATACATAGAACACTAAACTCGGATATAAACCCTCCCCTCAAACATCTCCTTACCAACCTCAACAGAACACATGACCATGACACAAGGCACAGATCACTCTTTGATGTTCCTCGTGTCCATCTCGCACTATGTAAAAGCTCAATTCACATAAAAGGCCCAAAAATCTGGAATTCATTACCTGTGAATATAAAAGAAATACTGTCTGTTTATCAATTCAAGTCTCTTCTTAAAAACCACTTACTCACCCACAACTAAATAAATACTGAATAACTGAATCTCATAAATGTATAACCTGTGATCCTATCAAACTGTTTTTTTTTTAATTACACTACCTAATATGATGCAACATCCCTCAGTGAAAAGCAGGGTGTCACTAGCACGTTAAGAGACAATACAGTAAGTGTCAGGGGCCCGAGACTGTTCAACAGCTCCCAGCATACATGAGGGGGATTACCAATAGACCCCTGGCTGTCTTCAAGCAGGCACTGGACAAGCACCTAAAGTCGGTACCTGACCAGCCGGCTGTGGCTCGTACGTTGGATTGCATGCAGGCAGCAGTAACAGCCTGGTTGATCAGGCTCTGATCCACCATGAGGCCTGGTCACAGACTAGGCTGCAAGGGCATTGACCCCCGGAACTCTCTCCAGGTAAACTCCAGGTAATAGAATACAGTGGACCCCCGCATAACGATTACCTCCGAACAAAAACGTATTTTAGATACCGCAAGAAATACACTTATGAATTATCTTATGGAAGATAAGAATTAATCAATGTGACCAATTATGTAAGTGTATTTATGTAAGTGCGTTTGTACGTGTATGTTTGGGGGTCTGAAATGGACTAATCTACTTCACAATATTTCTTATGGGAACAAATTCGGTCGGTACTGGCACCTGAACATACTTCTGGAGTGAAAAAATATCGTTAACCGGGGGTCCACTGTACTCCATTCTCTTGAATGCACAGTAATGCATCTAATGACCATATGACCTGTTTCTGCACTACAAATAATTGATTTTACTCGATATGATTCGATTATATTATACATTTTTTTTTTTAACAAGTCGGCTGTCTCCCACCGAGGCAGGGTGACCCAAAAAGAAAGAAAATCCCTAAAAAGAAAATACTTTCATCATCATTCAATACTTTCACCTCATTCACACATAATCACTGTTTTTGCAGAGGTGCCCAGAATACAACAATTTAGAAGTATATACGTATAAAAATACACAATATATCCCTCCAAAATGCCAATATCCCAAACCCCTCCTTTAGAGTGCAGGCATTGTACTTCCCATTTCCAGGACTCAAGTTCGGCTATATAAAATAACCGGTTTCCCTGAATCCCTTCACTAAATATTACCCTGCTCACACTCCAACAGCTCGTCAGGTTCCAAATACCATTCGTCTCCATTCACTCCTATCTAACACGCTTACGCACGCTTGCTGGAAGTCCAAGCCCCTTGCCCACAAAACCTCCTTTACCCCTCCCTCCAACCTTTTCGAGGACGACCACTACCTCGCCTTCCTTCTTCTTCCATCCAATATTTGGTCATCACTCTATGTTGATGACTTTGCTATTGCTTGTGCAGGTGCTGACCGTGACCTCATTACAGTTTCTCTCCAGCATGTGGTCAACCGTGTTTCCAATTGGGCCACCATGCATGGGTTTAAATTTTCCAGTACTAAAATTCGCCAAATTACTTTCACTAGATGCTCTATCATCTCCGATCATCCTTTGTACCTCTATGGCTCACGTATTCCTGAATGTGATATGGTCAGGTTTCTAGGCCTTCTTTTTGACTGTTGGTTATCCTGGAAACCTCACATTACCTCTCTGAAGGCAACTTGTCACAGCCAGCTGAACCTTCTTAAAACCCTTGCTCATCTTTCATGGGGAGCTGATCGTTGAACTCTCCTTCGCCTACATTCAGCCCTCATTTAATCGAAACTGGATTATGATGACCAGACTATTCAGTGGCTTCTCCTGCTACTCTCTCTAGCCTTAATCCCATCCATCACTAGGGATTATGTTTATGCCTTGGTGCTTTTCACTCTTCCCCTGTTGAGAGCCTCGATGCAAAAGCGAATATTCTATCCTTGTTCAATCGCCGTGATGCCCATTGCCTTTGCTACTATGTGCGCTCTCATGATCTCTGCAATCCTTCCATATACATGTATAGAATAGTAACTGATGTTAGCAGACATTCTTTATTTGTTCATTGCCCCTGTTTGCTCTGTCCTTTTTCTCTTCGCCTACATTCGCTCTTGTCTTCCCTTTAGTTACCACCTTTCTATGTTCATGTAACATCTAACTTTTCCCTGCCCCCCTGGGAAGTTCCAGCTGTTCGAGTCTGCTCTTTCTCACTCCCTTGTGTGAAAGTCCAACTGCCTTCAGTAGCTTCCCGCTCTTTTTCTTGACCACTTCCGCTCTCATTCTCATGTCATTGCAGTGTACACACATGGCTCTAAGTCTTCTGATGGCGTCGGATTTGCAGCAGTGTTTCTGGACAGTGTTGTGCAAGGGCATTTACTATCCTCGGCTAGCAATTTTACTGCTGAATTGTATGCCATTCTTGCAACACTTATCCATATTGCATCTATGCCTGTGTCATCATTTGTGGTTGTTTCAGACTCCCTTAGTGCTTTACACGCTATATGAAAATATGATACACCTCACCCCCCTAGTTCTCCGTATCCAACTTTGGTTACGCCGTATCTCTACCAAACAAAGATATCGTTGTTTGTTGGGTCCCTGGTCATGTTGACGTACAGGGCAATGAACAGGCAGACACTGCTGCGCAGTCAGCAGTACATGACCTTCCAGTTTCATATAGAGGCGTTCCATTCACGGACTATTTTGCTGTAATAGCTACCCACCTTCACACTCGTTGGCAACAATGTTGGTCTGATCTGCTCAATAACAAACTTCATTCTATTAAACCGAGTATAGGTTACTGGCCATCTTGTCATCATTGTTGAGGTTGGAAGACTACTCTCTTCCGTCTTCGCATTGGCCACACTCGTCTTACTCATGGGTATCTCATGGAGAGGCTCCCTGTTCCTCTCTAAGAATTGTCAGGTTCCAGTATCGGTTAGCCACATTCAGTTAGACTGCCCACTCTATCAACGAGCACGCAGAATTTACCTCCATCGTCGTCTCCACTCTGCTGCTCTCTCTTTACCTTCTCTTCTTGCTGATGGACCCTCCTTTAATCTGGACTCTCTCATTGACTTTTTGACAACAAATGATTTACTCCACAAACTCTGATGATGATACCTTTAGCACATCCCTCAGCCCTTTCTACCTCAATCTCTTGCTACCCTCTACCCCCACACTATCCACTTCCCTGCTGTTCTCCATACCCTACTAATTATATCCCTCTCCTTTTGCCACCCAATACCCTCGCTTCCTTCCCTGCCCTGCAGCGCTGTATAACCCATGTGGTTTAGCGCTTCTTTTTGATTATAATAATAATAATTGGAATAAGTATTTCATGTGCAGATTTTTAATTTCGACTATATTACATAAGCTATAATAGTAATTTATTTTGGTTGTGTAGCACGTCTAAGCTAATCAACAATAAGTGTTGAGTCATGTCACATGTTTGCCCGAGTGTAAACAAGGATGCATTTGGTTACATTATGTCATTTTAAGTTGATCTTATTTTCATTGGGGCCCTTCAGTCTTCTCCCCCAGGATTCAACTCATAACAGCCAACTAACACCTAGGTTCCTACTTAATGCTAGGTTACAATGGACACTAGGTGTAAGGAAACATGCCCAACATTTCACTCAAAATAAGCTTCAATAAAGGCAGCAGAATTTACATTGGATTTTTATGTTACTTAGTTTTACGTCATAATTGTTGACCAAGGTGCACCATTAAATTTAATGTGAAATGTTTTCGTCAATAATTGCAGGAATTCAGGTGCAAGATTTTTTGATAAGTAATTCAGGCCCTAACTAGTTTCTTGTGTAGTTTCTTTTTTTTTTAGTCTGATGATCCATT